ACTACACAGTTCTTGGGGATATTTACCTTGACAAATATCCCCTTTCCATTTGCGGCATTTCCCGTACTTCCAGCCAGGAATAATCCTGTAAGTATACATCAGAAATTCAATTTCAGCTGGTGAAAATCTGACCTGGACTGGTCTCGGTTCTCTGCGGGGGAAAAAATCTTTTTTTTCGAAACCCGTAAGCCGGGTCAGCCCACCGTCGTAACTGCGCTTATTGAAGCGCTGTAATACGCGGCTGATCTCGTCAATGTCCTATGTAGTACGTCGTTGTCATAACAATCTCCTTATACCTGTTATAAGCTGGAACTCAAAGAAACATTAGACTTTAAGATTACCGGGATTGACTCCATCAGGTTCATCCGCACAAAGCCCACCATGCTGTATGCTCTATTCGCCAACTTTAGGAAGAGACAATGGACTTGTAACAGGGGAATAATTCATATTTCCGGGGATTCGTGAGTTTCGACTTCTCCTGCAATAACTTTTCCTTTTCTCTATAGGCTCTCTCGTTGCGTGTGCAACCTAAATTCGATCTGTAATTGAAGCCGCAGTTGTACACTTCTTTTGCAATTGTGTGCCATCAAACTCTTTCTTTACGATCTTTGCGCCATCTTTCTTTTCTGACCAGCTAGCAACAATTTCTATTTTCGCTGTTGTTCCTCAACAATTTTTTGTGCACCATTGCAGTCCTTTTCTACAAATATCGGCCTCGCACCATCTGCCGCACTACTTTTCTACTCTTTTCAACATGTCATTCATCGGCTTTCTCTCTTGAGTCCTCATTCTTTTTCCCTCTTATCTTTTTCACACTTCCATGTCTTTGATTTCCTATGCTTCTCATTCGAAAATTTTTATTGAGGCTTAGCGAGAAAATTTTTTTGAATTGTGTGGTCTTTGTCACTTTGGGCTGGTTAGCAGAACGTGCCTTGATCATCATCATCATCCATGTTATCATCATCATCACAAACATCATTGTCTTTGTCCTGATCATGAGAAAAGAACTCTCGCTCGTCGCTGCTTCGGTGATCTACCCCTGCAGAGACTCGGCTGTAGAGTCTATGTAATGAAAAATCAAGTATGAACTACCGTCTTCGTTGTCGTTGCGATTGGACGAAGTTTACCTCCTCATTTCTTTCATTCAGTCCCATTTTGTAATGATAGTGACAGTTTGCAACTTACTCGAGGATGCGGATCATTTTCTTGACGCGTTCTACGCAGTCCGCGTATTTACCTGCTCTTCCTCTGCGTACAGCGCCAGCTTGTTGTAGGCTTACGCACACGCCATCGTAGTGTCATAGTAAGTAAGCAGCTGAGTTCTGGGCTTATGGTCTAAAATGGGTGCAGTCTGCGACTTTAGATAAACAACTGCTGGGACTAAAACTTACCTTCAAGCGCTGCGCATTCGGTGTCGACATAGCCCTGATACAATGCTGCTAGATATCTTTCGTACTGCAGCCGAGCAGTGTCATTCCTTGTCTGCAAAAATTTTTTTTATAAATTAGTCACAGCGGTTATGTGAGTTAACGTCGTCTTGCATGACGTAAGGAACCTAGTCCATAATCGATCAAAAATCTCTTCATTAGTCCGTTCACGGTCGCTTTTGCTTTCCCGTTGTATCCGATAAAACATGTCGATGTGGGAGTCTCAATGGCTTTTCTGTCTAACGTGCTTTTCTGCGACCCAAAGTTTCCGTGTATATGCAACTTTCTGCTCTATTGCCCAGACAAGAATATCTCCACGAGTATAAACACGCACTGCATAGAGGACAATAGAGGGCAATGGACGTTTTCGCCCGCATCCGCACACATGCACTGTTGAAAAAGATATACAAGATAGTTGTCCGCAGCATTTCTTCCTTGCATCTGCTATTTGTTTTCCTCCTTAAACGATCTTCTCAGGTTTTCCAGCGTAGTGCTTCATCACCCATCTTTGGGACTTGGTTGTCTGCTGTATTCGTTATGACGCTGTAGCTAAACGTCGACGGTCCTAAAATAAATGCATTTGATCATCATTGATTTTCGCTATTTAGCCAAATCTTCCACAGCTCTTATGAGAAGATCCAGCCCTAGAGTTTGCATTTCTTTGCAGAAAATCCTTCTTTGAAACGCAAGTGCCATCTTTCACTGAATCCCGATTAGCAAAAAATGCTCAGCTTGCTGTTCTTCCTGAGACATGTTT